ACCGCTGTTTAGAAAAAACCTTTTTCTATATTTTTTGGGATGTTGCTTTGACCAGGGCTTGAACCCAGGTGCTGATGTGTGAAAGCGCGCACTGCTTGGCACCACAGCGGCTGGCACGAAAGTCTAACAAAAAATCTCCCTTGCCAAGTTTCTTCCCCTATGGCAGAAAGCACTTGTATATCATTTTGCTCGCGGGGATCTAACAGTCGCAATGGCCCAGAGAGAGATCCGGGTTCGAGTCCGAGCAGCGGAATTGTTTTATTTGTTTTATTGTTTTGAAAAGAAAAATATTTTTTAAATTTTATTTAATATTTAGTTTTCTCTTTTTAAATTAATTAATTTTTTTAATTTAACTTTAAGATGTTATTGTTTTTAAAGGAAAATAATTTTATTTAGTGTTCAGAAAAATATTTGTTGCTTTTTTTGATTAATTTTTTTTTTTATTCAACAATTGTTAAATATAATTGTTATAAGGCCACAAATAACAAAACCATTTCATTTTAAGATTCTATTGTTTCAAAAGAAAAATATTTTTTTTTATATAAATTAATTTTTAAGGACTTTTTTATTTTTTTTTATTTTTAACTTTATTTTATTGCAACTCTTAGATCACATTATTTTAAAAAGAATTTTTTTTTTAATTTCATTTATTTTTTAGGAACTTTTTTATTTTTAAAATAAAACTTTCTTTTAATTTTTATATTTTATTGTTTTAAGAGGGAACTTTTTTTAATTTCAATTAACTTTTGCAAACAAAATTTATAAATTTTTTATTTTTTTAATAAATTTTATTTTTTTTTGTAGTTAAAAAAACTGTTTATCGTCACTTGAAATGCAAAAAGACGTAACAAACATCGTTACTGAAATGCTCTACCACTTGCTTCTATGGTGCGAGTATCATGCATACATATCGCAAGAGTGTCATACCATGTATTTATTTTTGGTTTCGTAGAGCATGCAGAAATGAGCTGTGTAAAAATTTCATAGCTTAACAATAGGTCACTAGAAGAAAATGTGTCTTCATTTTTATGGTAGCGTATGTAAACTCTAAACATATTTGTCACTTAGACCCGTGACTTTTCCCAAGAAGTGAGCGTAACTAGTATACATTTGTGGATAAATACAAAGTGCAAAGCTATCAACACGCACCAAGCAAATAATTCCAGGACAATTTTGCGTCCATGCATTTCTAGGCTTTCAGCAAAATTTACTCACACCAGCACGATTTTGTACAAATGAAAGTGGATGTACTTGTATAAACTACAAAAGCAGAAATGTTGGCAACTTTGCCAAAACTTGTTTTCATGTTGCTTGCATTTTTCATGCTTTCGCGTTGTTATCAAAATTGTCGTTCGCGGTATGTTGGGCCCCAGTTACGTATGTATTTCGCTTTGCATATTTTTTTTTGTCCGTACATAAATTTAAAACATTTCATGCTGCTCATTGCGACTGCCCTTCGTTTTTTGCTTATAGCAGTCTTTGTCGCTGCTCTGTTGCTCCTTAATTTGCCGCCTATTTAATTCCTTTTGTCATTAGCAGGATATCAAATGACAATACGTCAACCGCAGCAGAAGAAGCACCAAAAGTAACAACAATAAATTTAAACTAAAAACCACATTAACAACACTTTGTAAACAAAACAAAGTTGGTGAGCATATGAGAAGGCGGATAAGTGCCGATGAACTAAGTACTTATTTGCCATTCGCAGCTTATGCAGCAACTGTAATTGGTATGTGCGGAAATAACTGCATTTTGTTTGCACCAGCTACAGTTGGCGTGATGCCTTAGTCACTGTACATTTGTATATCAAATACTTGCGCTCTTGTTTACTGTAGGTATCGATATGTACTAGTACATATATTGGTATGTATGTATGTATGTATGTTTATTAGGGTGTTCCCGATATTCCGTTGCAAAGTAACCTACGTTTAAAGTTTTATTGCTTTACAATGTCTACAAGCCTTGCCGGCTTGAAGTTGTGTGCAACTGTATTTGTCACATTTTAAAAATTTTACATTAAATCGATAACAAAAGTAGAACAAGTCATAAACAGTGCTAGCGACGATCGTCCTATGCCATTCACCTAGTTAGCTTGCTTGGGATGCGCAACTTCAATACCAACGTACCACTCGATATCTGATCAACTCGCCGATCAAGAATAGTCAGGTCTCAAAGTAGGACTTCATAAACGCGAATGAGTTCATTATGTGGAGGAAGTAAAAAAATTAACAGCGAATTTAGGGCTTGGATATGGGTCACACTCAAGAATGATAGAATACAAGATTGCGCCCATCAGAGAGGATTTTTGAGAACAATTTTTGTGTGACGTCACACCGGCATAGCCACATACAATTGCAATGCAAATAGTCCTTTCGTTATCTTGGCAGTATCCATCAAAACTGATGCAATATCTAGTGACCATGAAATGAAGCCTAAAATCTATCCACTTTAAATCCACTTATTCCTGAAAATTTTCCCGTCAGCAAACAGAATTCGTCTCTGACCGTTTTTTGCGTACTGACGAAGCAAGACTTTCGATCGTGAGTTACGTTTTTATTTCAACGCTTCTCTAAGTAAGTACTCGGCATGTTACTTAAATGCGTTGGCTCCCAAGTCCCGTTTAATGATGCGCGATTCGCTGTCCCTGATGATATTAATTTTCTGCGATATGACTTTCAGCTTGCTGAGCGTACCCTGAAGAACTCGATTCTCTACGGCTAGGACGGGCGAATTTTCCATCGTCGACTGATACATTTCTATTGATTTTCAGTGCGTAGCTGCATATTTAAGGACCAATTACGATAACACAAGTTGAGACAAAACCCATTACACGATTGCAAACTTCTTAGAAAAAATTCTAAGCACGGGATTTGTACGTAAATCTCACCTGTCAAACAGGAGTTAAGTTAAAGTGAAATTATTCACTGATTTCTGAACAACCCACTGTATTCTAGTACCAAAACATTTCATAGTACTAGTATAATATACATACATACGTTTTTAAGCAAAAAAAAGAAAAGATTAGGAGGTACACATATCAAATTCCGATAACAAGTCGCCCTAATGGTCTGGGGCACCCTAGTGTATAATCATAAACTTGTAAGTATGCAAATATATACTTACATATCTATATATATGTAAATAATTGTCTGATTGCAGCTTTTGTAGCTTGGTTTGAGCGATGAATTTTCGGTTAGTTAACGAACTCTTCCCGTAGCTCTTCAAAATTGTTGAAGGTTTTGTAATTGAAACTTTTCTTTTTCGATTAGCTAGCGTATGTACAGGGTGGGTCAAATAACTGGTGCTAGTGTGTTGCCTTTGGATTTTCAGAGCCCCACAATCTACAGTTTTGCTTGGAAATGCGCTTCATCCGACATCAAAATATTACCTAAAAAATAAATTTGTGTGGCTAATTGTGTAAAACGAATGGCGTATTGTAGTCGTTGTTGGTAGTCTTCCTGTAAGTATCCATTATGATTTTCTAAGATATTAACTATAACATGCAGAAAGAAAATAAAAATAATATTAAAAAAATAGAGAAGTTAGACATGTTTAACATTGGTAGGTCTTATTTGGCCTACCGTGTATGTATTTCAACAATTATATGTACTTATTAAATTATGCTTTGGTAAGCGTACGTAATTGCATACATATGAACATGTATATCACCACACAGCACATGCTGTAGTGGTTGGCATCCTACAAAGCTAAAAATTTCTATAAGAAATATATTTAGCGTACAATTTTATAAAAAAAATGCATATTTGTATTTTTTTATTTATTTTTTTTTAAGTTAAATTTTTTTTTAAATCGTTTTTTTAATTTTTTTTATTATTATTTCTTTATCATAATTTATGTGTAAGAGGCAAAGTTGAAATCTTCTGCGCATGACGCTTAGACATAATGCGGTCTCGATGGTCAAAGGGCGGCGATTGCGCGTGGTGAACACTTTAATCTTAAAATGCCCAAAAACGGGTTTAAAATTTATAAACAGCTAGCTGTACCCTGCCACGTCGAGCATGCATTCATCTGAGCATATAGATTCGTAATCAGCTACGCCAAAACCTCTGCAATACCAAATTTTATAAAAATCTATTAACTATTTATATTTTATGTCTGCTATATTGAATCCACAATTTTGGATTTTTGAAATTTTATTTTAGATTCGTAATCACCGACTCCAAAAAAGATAGATTGCGTAATTGAAAGTTTTTTGTACTCTAGGAGCTATTAATTTTGGCCAAAATATCGAGCTCCTGGCACACAGTGGACTGGATTACTGCGCTAATCAAGAAGAATAAAAGTCGGTATTTGGAAATTTTCGGAAATCGCATATAAAAAGTTCGGTTTCGCCCGAACTTTGACTTTTTTACTTGTTTTATTTTTAAAAACTAGAACCAGTTGAATGTTTTACGAGCCATTTCCTATTATTTTCAGATATCCAAAAATTGGCACTGCCAATTTTTTTTTGGTGTATCTACCATTTTCTGTAGATTCTAAAATCGTTGTGCTCTTACCTGTTTTTAACTCAGTTATATATGCATGTTGTTGCGGTAATTTAACTCGCTTTTCAACGCTACGGTTGCAAGTCAACTGGAGTGAGAAATAAGTACATACATACCTAAAATGTAAAACTACTTAGCAACAAAACAATTGCAATATTAGTAACAGGGATAAGTATATACAAAGCTGCTAAAGGCAATGACATTGTGTAAAATAAAGCCTTAAGTGTGATTAAACGATGGAAGGGTAAAAAAGCGGTAATTTAATACTGTAGCAAATATACATATACATACATGCTGGCATATGTAGGTGTGATTGTTTGAGGATATATGTAAGTACATATATATTTATTTTATTGCATTGCTTTGTATTGCGCATACCGTGTGGATGTATGTATATATGTATGTGCATATGTATGTATATATATATTTCAGTTAAAACTTTAGTATGCTTTTTGCAAAATTTTAAACCATTTTCCTCGCTCTTTATATTTTCAGCGAATTAACAGTGTGCTTAAATCATCGTAAGCTGCTACACAACTGTGCGTCAGAGGAGTGTAAAATTTCTGTGTTGAAAGAAAAATTACTGTACGAGCATCAAATGAATTTTAAATGTTGAAACAATCAGTTTTAATCTAAAATAAAGTGCGAGAATAAAGTGTGAATACCGTAAAAAAAACACGAAACGAAAATTAATATATGAGGTCGCTTTCATTCACTCACCGATAAAATGTGCAGCCCTGGGTGATTAACAAAAGGAATTAAAGCAGTGAAATGAAAAATATATAAATTTATCGACATCACAATAAAATTTGTAAAAAAGGTAAAAATAAAAACAAATGGCATTTTGCTCGAAATCCCATTCCCATTCGTAACATAAAAATCCACTCATGCCATACCATTCGGATTAACACATCACAGGCGAGTGGCAGTGGCGCAGTAGGAGTTAGTGGGCATGCAACAAAGCTCCTTGTGTAGATACACACTACATATATACGCAGCATCGAGTTATCCACATACCCGATTCGCCCGCATTCGATTTGGTGCACGGAAATTGCTCGCTTGTCACCGGGTAAGTAAGTAGGCTAAATAGAATTTATGTGTGCGCCCAATGCAGCTTAACTGTTGGCTCTACTACGTATGTACATAGATTAGACTGCATCACTCCCTAACAGAAAAAATCGATACTGTTCTTTCCATTGGAATTATAAAATCTATTATATTTAAGACTTGCACTAAAATATTTCTGAAAAAAATATTAAGATTTACGTGAACTGGACGGATTTGAAAATACCTCTAAAAGTTTCGATTTTTTATGAATGAAAATAGTTTTTCTAAAGTATTTTCTGAAAAAAATCACCTCTGATAACAAAACAGTTAAAGCTTAAAAAATTTGCATAAAAATATTTAAAAAAAAATTAACGGAATCATAATAATAAGATTTTTGATGCTGTTTTTGAACTTTTATCAAAGATTGATGTAAAAAAAATTTTATTATTATATTTAAGATTTGCACCAAAATATTTCTGAAAAAATATTAAGATTTACGTGAACTGGACGAATTTGAAAATACCTCTAAAAATTTAGTTTTTTATAAATGAAAATAGTTTTTCTAAAGTATTTTTTAAAAAAATCACCTCTGGTAACAAAACAGTTAAAGCTTAAATAATTTGCATAAAAATATTAAAATAAATTAATTAATAGGATTTTTAATGTTGTGTTTGAACTTTTATCAAAGATTGATTTAAGAAAAACTTGAATAACTCTGCCAACACTTTACCGGCTAGATCTAAGAGGTATCATTGGAAAGGCATTTTCTCACCCTTTTTATTTCTTTGCAAATAAACTCACTCAAAGTATGAGAGAGAATTTTAAAAAAACTGCATTAAAAATCTTATTATTATGATTCTGTTGAAAACCTTTTTTTTATATATTTACGCAGATTTTTTAAACTTAAACTGTTTTGTCATATGAGGGAATATTTTCAAAAAAGCCTTTAAGATCCTATATGTATTTATTCATAAAAAAAAATTTTTTTTTTGATAATAAATTTTGTAATAACGGCGTAAAACCCGCAACTTTTTTTAGTGATCCAGTCCACGTCAAAAAAATAAAAAATCCTGCAATGCGGCCGGAATTATTTAAATAATCTGAGCCTGCATAATAGGGTGCGTTCAGAAATGCAACAAGCCAAAGCATCACTATCTTTTATTTTCAAACCATTGTTGATGGAAATGTCTTATTTACGCAACTAAGTTCAAATTCGGCTTTTAACCGTGGTTGCGCATATCTGACATTTCCATCAATTATAGTTTAGAAATAAAGGAGACTGATGCTTTAGCTTGATGCATTTCTGAACGCACCCATACTTAAATGGCATGTAATCAATGTATTCTTGGATTTTCGAGTGTTTTCATTGATTCTAGGAAATTATATTGACCTCAAAAGCAAAGAACTCTTTTTCTTACATGTAATTCCTATGGGAAAACTAAATGCTCGACGCGGGACCTCTCACAATTGTCCTAGAGGGTGGTGATTCATGGAGGAACATTATTATACCAAATGCTAAAATTTGAGTCTTATTCTGGTCGCATTGTAGGGTATTTTTTTAATATTTTTTTTACGCAGTCTAATGTACATGTATATACTTACATATGTACATACATTCAAATTTACAACTATTCAGTGAAAGAAAATTACTTCGTTCATAATATTTGATTGAAAGACAATGGTACATTGTGCCAGAAACAATTTTCAACCATACTTCTACAACTCAACCATTCCTTTTTAATATGTGCTGTTGTTATCGCGTTTCAATTCCTTACTGTCTACTATTTTTCGTAAGTGGCGATGTCTACAGGCAATCAAGCTCACTCGCCCGTAGAGGCAGTGGAAAGCGGATTATTTGTTATTTCTTTTAGTTATATTTCTACACTAAATACCACATACCCATCGATTTCTCATAAATTTAATACTTACTCAATTTAGTATATCTGAGTCTTTTAAATTTTTATCAGAACTGTTGACTAAGTACAACTTTTACTAAGGCTCTTTTACGTTTGCTCTCCATGCTTTGTAATAAATAAAAACTAAAGCGTAATACATATGTATACAATGTATGTATGTCTCTTGGCTATAATTTTAAGCCTGAGTCGTCACACACAGAAAAAAGATTCAGATAAATATATTTCTATTAACACAAGATTTGGCAACCAAACCAAATAATGAAACTATTACCAAATCCTGTGTTGGGAGAAACATATTAAGCTGGCGTAACTAAACTCTTTGCTCAGTCAGTGTACAAAATTCGCCGAGAAAAATTACGGTAAATTGACTACACAAAGAAAAAAGCAACATAATTTTTTTCAAACAGCGTAATTTTCGGCGAGTTGAAAATTTTGAACAGAAAATGTATTTCATAAAGCATTTTCACATTATCATAGTTTACGGCTCATTCATAGTCCATAAAAAAATCAAGCAATTTTGCCACGTAAAATTTGTCAATAAATGCGAAATTCGCGAAAATTCAATCAGTTCCCAAAATCTTTATGCTTTATCAATTTAAATTAAATAAATAACTTACAAATATAAAAAAAAAATAATGCGGTAAAGTGTGCTAAAGACCCATACGTTCTCGTCGAAGCTGAGTAGAGAGTGTTATCGCCCAGTTTCATTGCCTTTCCAAAGATATTCGTGATCACTGAAATTTGAGAACATATAATTCAGTAAATCTCTAAATATGCCATAGAAATATGAATGCCGTTTTTGAATTTTTCTGAAGTAGGTTTTTTGTGGACCTATGGTATTCGATGGATAAACATGTCACGAAAATGAACTTAAGATAAATGTAGTTGGCCATTTTTTCTCATATAAATGCCTAATTATGATTAAGTTCCGAGTTCATTGCCCGATACCTTTTTGTGGACCGTACAGATCTTAATATTTTAGATGATGGACCCTTTCAAGTTTCTTTACCTGTGGCACACCGGACAGGCTTTAATAATATCATCCTTGTCGGTTAGTGGCTGGATTTCACTTCGTGGCAAGTGATGATCGTTTTGGATTTATATTCAGTACATTTTGACTTTAGTGGCAATGCGGACTGTACGCATTAGCAAGCGCTCATTGGAATTTATCTGAATAATTTTCTCGGCTAAGAAGAACCAACATTTACGACGGCGCGTCGCATGGAAATGAAACGCTCGGAGGTAAAATATAAATGAAAGAAACAAGAATGAAGTTAACTCCGCAGATCCCCAACATACCATTTTGAATGTCACGCTATGATGCCTACGCCATTTCTCCGACCATCCATTTTATGCAGAAATATGTTGAGTGCCTAATCGTCCAGCGATTTCCTTTGCTTCTTTCTTTATAATAGGAGCCGATATTGGTATATTTTGACTTCTGGCTTTTACGAACCACTCAAAAACATAAATTGCCTATTTTTGCGCCATCCATATTTAAGAAACTTTTCTTTTCACTGACTCCGTTTTACTCGCTGAACAATATACTCTAGTTGTGGTTTCCCTTAACTCAGTTATTGAATGGCGCTACAAATGTAAGTATTTTTCAGAATACATATACATACATACATATGTACTTATATGGTAAATTTACTGCAGCATACTACTTTCACAAATGGATTGATATTGGGATATTGCAGAGCTTGTTTCGTAAATCCCCATTTTTATTTCCGTGGTCCACAAACTTTAGATTTTTCAATGTTCCGATTTTATTTTATTTTCAAGTTTGTATGAATTTTGTTATACTATATAAATTATACTACGAAAACTTAATCACGAAATATTCTTTGTTATTTATGTAGATTAGCTCCATAAAATTTAAGAGAAACCTGTTTAGTTAATAGTTAATAAACTCCAATTAATTTTAAAGCTTTTATATGGATTTCTACAAAAACTGTTAAAATTTTTAGAAATTTTCAGCTCTGCGTTCCAGTTAACTGATATACCAACAAAATGTAATTAAATAACTACATATATATGTATGTGTGTTGCAGTATTCACACATGGCATATGTATAAATTATCACACTGAAAAAAAATTTCGTAAAAGTGCTACGAAAAACTTTCGTAGTCTTGGTTTCTGTACAATGTACGAAACTTTCGTTCATAATACGAACAGGTTTTTCACAACGAAACAAGATTTTACGAACCATTCGTAAATATAACGCAAGGACTTTCATACGGTATTTTTATACCCGAGCGCACTTGTGCACAAGGGTATTATAACGGTTGTTTGTAACAGGCAAAACGAATCGAGATAGATATAGACAAATGTATACATAAATGATCAGAATGAAAAGAGAAATCGATTAAGCGCTGACTGTCTGTCCGTCCGTCCGTCCGTCCGTCCGTCCGTCCGTCCGTCCGTCCGTCCGTCTGTGCACACGATAACTCGAGTAAAAATTGAGATATCTTAACGAAACTTGGTACGTGAACTTCTTTTGGGCGTGGGACGGATGGTATTGAAAATGGGCGAAATCGGATAATAACCACGCCTACCTCCCATATAACGGTAATTTTAAGAAATACGAAAACTGCGATATTTTAGTAACTCCTGAAGATAATTCACTCAAAATTGATACTTACAATGAGTTTCAGACGGAAAACATGAATATTATAAATTTTTGGAAAATGGGCGTAGCCACGCCCACTTATGGTTACATGTGTATATCTTGGTAACCGCTGCACCAATTTCTTCCAAACTTGGCACAGTTGTTGGCCTTAGTACAGTTTACTAAATGGCTGAAAATTTTAAAAATCGGACAATAACCACGCCTACCTCCCATATAACGGTAATTTTCAGAAAAACGAAAACTGCGATATTTTAGTAACTACTGAAGATAATTCAGTCAAAATTGATATTTGCAATGAGTTTTAGACGAAAAATAAGAATATTACAAAATTTTGGCAAATGGGCGTAGCCACGCCCACTTATGGTTACATGTGTATATCTTGGTAACCGCTACACCAATTTCTTCCAAACTTGGCACAGTTGTTGGTCCTGGTACAGCATACCAACTGGCCGAAAATTTCTAAAATCGGACAGT